CAGAATGGGGTTGCTGAGCGCCGCATTGGCTTGGTCATGGAGGTCGCTCGTACCTCCTTGATCCATGCGGCTGCTCCCCACTTTCTGTGGCCGTTTGCGGTCCGGTACGCTGCGCATCAGCTCAACCTCTGGCCCCGTGTCTCCTTGCCGGAGACCTCGCCCACACTGCTGTGGACGGGGGAGGTTGGCGATGCGTCGCATTTTCGGGTCTGGGGATCTCGAGCTTTTGTCCGCGATACGTCCGCGGACAAGCTCTCCTCCCGCGCTGTTCCTTGTGTCTTCCTTGGCTTTGTCCCGGACGCGTCTGGTTGGCAGTTTTACCACGCCACCTCGTGCCGTGTCCTGCCCTCTCAGGACGTCACTTTTGACGAGTCGGTGCCCTACTACCGCCTCTTCCCCTACCGCACTGCCCCGCTCCCCCCCCCGCCTCTCTTCCTCGCGCCAGGTGCTGCTGTGGTAGACCCCCTCCCCCCTCAGGGTGCCGCTCCCTCAGGTGTGTCCCAGGTAGACCCGGTTGAGCCTGTCGAGGTAGCTGTCGACTCTCGTCCTGCTAGGGGTGCTGAGCCTGAGCGTGCGGAGCCTGGGGGTGCGGAGCCTGGGGGTGCGGAGCCTGGGGTTGCGGAGTCTGGGGGTGCTGAGCCTGGGGGTGCGGAGCCTGCGGGTGCTGAGTCTGGGGGTGCTGAGTCTGGAGGTACTGAGCCTGGGAGTGCTACACCTGGAGGAACTCTCTCCTCACAGCAGCTGCGTGAGTGGTACTTACAGTACTGCAGCCTCAGGAGAGGTGCTTCTGGAGCTAGGAGTGCTGCTGGAGCTGGTGCTAGTGCTTCCCCTCCTAGGCGGGAGCTGCCCTCTCCCCAGCGGCTCCGAGAGTGGTACGCTCGACGCTGCAGTCTCCGGAGTGGCGCTCCTAGTGTCGCGGACCCTGGTGCTGGAGGTGCTGCTGCTGCTGGCGGTGCTGCTGGCGCTACTGGAGGTGCTGCTGGTGCTGGAGCTGCTGGAGGTGCTGCTGCTGGCGGTGCTGCTGGCGCTACTGGAGGTACTGCTGGTGCTGGAGCTGCTGGAGCTGCTGGAGGTGCTGCTGCTACTGGTGGTGCTGCTGGAGGTGCTGCTGGTGCTGGTGCTGCTGGAGCTGCTGGAGCTGCTGCTACTACTGGAGGTGCTGCTAGTGCTGCTGACGCTGCTGGAGGTGCTACTGGTGCTGCTGGTGCTGCTGGTGCTGCTGGAGCTGCTGGAGGTGCTGCTGGTGCTGGGGCTGCTGGAGCTGCTGGAGGTGCTGCTACTACTGGAGCTACTGCTGGTGCTGCGGACCCTGGAGTTGGAGCTGCTGCTGGTGCTGGAGGTGCTGGCGCTGCTGGAGCTACTGGTGGTCCTGCGGGCGCTGTAGCTGGAGACCCTGGAGCTGAGCCTACTGGTTGTCTCTCTGCTGGTTCTGGCGGCGCTGCGCGGCCGCAGCCGTACTTCGTTCCACTCCTTCAGCAGGTTCTTGGTCAGTCGCCTCCTCCCTGTCCTGCTCCCTCCTTAGAGTGTCTTCCGCCAGTCCAGTCGCAGTCACAGTTACCTCCTGCCTTACCACTCCCTGGTCCTTCTCCTTACACTGGTCCGACTGGAGGTCTTACAGAGCGTCGTGAGCCTGAGTCTCGTCCTGCGTCGCCCGAGTCTCGTCGTGCGTCGCCTGTTCGTGCTGCTCACACTGGTCGTCGTGTCCCTCGTTAGCGTCCTCCTGCTGTCCCAGGCACTCACCAGATGGCGCTTCGTCCTTCCTCTGCTCCTCAGCGCGTCCCCCTGCCGTCTCCTCCTGCGTCCTCTCTTCCTGCTCTTGCTGACCCGGAGTCTGACTCCCTTCGTGCTGCCAGTCCTACTGTCACGCGTCTCCTCGCCACTGTTGTCACTGACCCTTCCTTTGAGTCCTCTGCTGCGTCTGCTCTAGTCGCTGAGTTAGTTAACTTTGCTGCCGCTTGTCGTCTCGACTACGCCGCTAGCCTTGTCGCTGAGTCTGAGTCTGAGTCTGTCTGTCCTCCGTCCGTCGGGGGTGAGTGTGCTCTTGGCACGGACGTCCTTGAGGACAGGCAGGAGGAGTTTGAGTGCTTTGCCGCTGCTTTACCTCATCTCGTGTCCATGCTGGTTGCCCCTGAGGGAGACCCGGATGCTCCAGACATCCCGACCCCGCGCTCTTACGCTGAGGCGATCGCGGGTGAGTACTCCTCTCAGTGGCAGACAGCCATGGACGCAGAGATGGCTTCCTGGAAGTCCACAGGCACCTACGTCGACGAGGTTCCCCCACCTGGGGCGAACATCGTCAGTGGCATGTGGATTTTCAGGGTGAAGCGGCCGCCGGGTTCTCCGCCTGTCTTCAAGGCGCGTTACGTTGCACGAGGCTTCAGTCAGCGAGAGGGAATTGACTTCTTCCAGACCTTCTCCCCGACCCCGAAGATGACCACTCTTCGGGTTCTGCTGCACGTCGCCGCTCAGCGTGACTACGAGCTCCACTCTCTTGACTTCAGCACTGCTTTCCTACACGGCAGCCTGCACGAGGAGATCTGGCTGCGCCGCCCACCTGGCTTCACTGGGTCGTTCCCTCCTGGTACCCAGTGGAGCCTCCGGCGGCCAGTCTACGGTCTCCGCCAGGCACCGCGTGAGTGGCACGACACACTGAGGACTACACTTGCGGCTCTTGGGTTCGCTCCTTCTACTGCTGACCCGTCGCTGTTTCTACGCACCGACACTTCGCTACCGCCGTTCTACATCCTCGTGTACGTCGACGACTTGGTCTTTGCCACTGCTGACACTGCGGCACTCGCCCACGTGAAGTCGGAGCTGCAGAAGAGACACACGTGCACAGACCTGGGTGAACTGAAAAGCTATCTTGGCTTGCGGATCACCCGGGACAGAGCACGGCGCACCATCACCTTGACTCAGTCACACATGGTGCAGCAGGTCCTTCAGCGCTTCCGCTTCACGTACTCCTCGCCTCAGGCCACTCCTCTGCCTACCGGTCACTCGCTCTCAGCTCTGCCTTCGGATGAGTCCGTAGAGCCGAGTGGCCCGTATCCAGAGCTTGTGGGCTGCCTCATGTACCTGATGACCTGCACTCGACCTGACCTTGCATACCCTCTTAACATCCTTGCACGCTATGTCGCTCCTGGCCGTCACCGGAAGGAGCACATGGATGCCGCTAAGAGGGTGTTGCGCTACTTGTGCAGTACGTCGGGCATGGGGCTAGTGCTTGGAGGACGAGACCGAGTTGTACTCACTGGGCACTCAGACGCTTCTTGGGCTGACGACCAGGCTACTCAGCGGTCGTCTCAGGGTTACACCTTCAGTCTTGGCTCTGGTTCAGTTTCTTGGCGTTCTACACGCTCGTCTTCTGTTCTCAGCTCCAGTTGTGAGGCTGAGATCTACGCCACAGCCATGGCTGCACAGGAGTTACGCTGGCTCACCTACCTGCTGACCGACTTGGGAGAGCGGCCTCGTTCTCCTCCAGTGCTGTACGTTGACAACAAGGCTGCCATTGCCTTGTGTGAGGAGCACAGACTGGAGCACAGAACGAAGCATATCGCTCTGCGCCACTTCCTTGCTCGAGAGCTGCAGCAGCGCGGTCAGCTTCGTCTGCGTTACGTGGCCACTCGGGCCAACACTGCTGATGTGTTCACCAAGGCGCTTCAGCCTTGTGACCATCAGCGCTTCTGTACTGTTCTAGGCCTTGTGCCTACTGGTCCTCACTTGCTTACTTCTTGACTCTGCTTGTACTGTGATCTCTATATATATACCTGCATGCCTGCTCTTGCTAGGTTGTGATCACTGTATCTCTTGTTATATTATCAACCTGCATGTGAACTGGTCTTGTGACCACTTGCTTGTGCTCAGAATTTGTGTGGTTTCCCTGAGATCCACCCTGAGCTTGCTTTGCTTTGCTTTGACTGGTCTTGTGGCCATCTGGTTGTCTCCCACTTAGCCTATGGGGGTGTGTCAAACATTATATGTTTATATTGTGTAGGCTATAGTGGGTTTAGCCTTAGGGGGTACAACTTTGCTAGGGTTGCCTACTTGTATCCCCATCATTCCTAGTTTGATCATTCTCGTTCTATTCTAGATTCTAACATAATCGCCCAGCCAGCATGACACGACTGCCGACCGAACCAATCATCACACCCGAGAAAATTCTGAGCTACAGAGTTCGTGACCCTCGAGGAGCCCGAAGGATCGAGTTCCTGATCCGCTGGAAAGACCGTACACCCACCGAAGACAACTGGGTTCCCCTGGACAGAGTCGAAAACCACACCGTCCTGACAGAGTATCTGCGCAGCCGAAACTTCAGGGATGTACACGCACTTTCATAAGGAGGACCTCCGTAGGGGGGGGGGGGGGGGGGGGGTGGTAAGTGTAAGGAAAATTTCTTTTCCTAACTTCGCGTCCCTGCTCAGCGCGTACACCACTGTAGCACCACAGTCAGCACCGTTACTACTCGCAACCCTCGCATCGACAATCCTCCCGCCACCTTCGCACGTCGCACCCCGACCTCACGGCTCGGCGGGTAACCCGCGCTCCGGGCCTCCGCTTCGACATTTCCCCAAACCTCAGTCCCAGGCCCGTCGCGCGACAACCACAGTCCATTACCGTTACCACTGTAGTTTCGTTATATATTCTTCGCTCATGCCTTCGCTCATTGTACTCTTGCTTTGATAGTGCAATTCTCACCCGATCACTCAATTGCACTCGTAACAATTACCTATAATTATTATCTTAGAGCCTCTTTCAGCTAAGCACACATTCTCATTCTGCTTATATCCGACTGTAGGTTCCATTGCATTCCTTGCAGAATTTGCAAGTTCCCTGCATGTCCAACACCACTTCATTGATCAACTCAGCGTCGTGGTCATCTCCAGTTATTCAATCAGATTTCGTCACCACCTCCGTTCTTCCGAACCCTCCGCGCCTTCGTTCGATCCTCGCGTTTCGGCCGCTTCTCGTTGTCTGAAACCGGTATTTCTTGTCCAGGAGCCATGTCTGTTGCTATCCGCCGAGCATTCCTCCACGCCCGCGGAGTCCGTCAAGCATCGTTGCCGTCGCTATGTAGCCCGACTCTCCCACACTCCGCACCTGGCGGGCTCCCTCCGTTCGGTGGTGCTCGCCCGCTGCATCAGGTCTGTCATACCTCCGTGTCCTCTTTCCACGCACATCCCCTCCTCCCCTTGCCCCCCTTCCGTCTCTTTTATCATATCTCTCAAACACGCCCGCGCGCGAGCATAGCGCATGCGTATTACACGGGTATGCATGTGCAGAGGCTGCGAGGGCCATCTTTCCATCAGCATCGTCCGCTGGCTTGTTCATAGCAGCGCCGGCGAGAGGGGGTGGGCCGACGGTTAACACGGTGTATTTGCTCGTTCCAGTCTCTTCGTTTTTCGTAATAGAAAAATTACGCTCCGCACCCCATCCGTGGCCAGAGTCACCCGTGTGGAGCAGCGAAGTCTGCGACATCGGAGTCGGTGGCAGCGCGCATGGTGGAGAAGCGCAAGCAGGAGAGACATGAAAACGCGGTGCTGCTATCCATGCTGGCAGTGGGGCTCTCCATCTCCGGCTACTTCTACTACACCTCGCAGATCCGCCCCTACTCCCACTCCTCCTCTGTCACCGCCTTCCCCCTCACGCCCTCCACCCGCCTCCCCCCTGCCCCTGGTCCGCAGCCAGAGCAGGGGGCCGATGTGACCAAGAGGTCGTAGCAGGTAGTGCCGTGCATTCACTTCTTCATTGTATCACAGCTCCACAAGACTACCGTAGTTTGTGTCACAGCTGTGTGCAACACAGATCCGTGCTGCCCACAAGGACAGGAAGTAGGAAAAGGCTTCATAGATATTGTACAGCTTTATGATGGTACGGTACTGCGTTTTTTGCATAGTAGTCTACAAATTTGGGTTTTATTCTTCGACGCTTATAGTGTATTTGATTCAAAGCTAGTGAAGAGCTGCACAGGTGCTGAACCCATGCCTCTCAAGGTCAGATATTCAATTCAAGGAGATCTAATGTGTTCGTTTGCGTGTCATTCCATCTCACCGGTAATGTTCGAATCGAGCGTTCACATAGAGAGTACAATCTGATGCGATATTGCGCCTTACGCCTCCACACTCTTCTCAATGCCTCCCTTTCCTACGCGTTTCGTGTGTCATTTCGATGACTTTCGCCTCGCCCATTTGTTTCCTCGTCAAATCTCGTGGAGCTCCGTTACCACCCTAGAGCTGAAATCGCATTGGCAGCGATAGCGGATGGCCTGAGGCACGTCTCAGCACCGCCTCACACAGCACGTGGTTGCACGAGCCGAAGTGCCCCCAACAGCAATGAATTTGCTGGTCGCCATATTGTACAGTAGCGTGAAAGTCGCCCAAGAATTGAACAATACCCGTCCATACCAACCACGCTAGCCAGAGATCATGACCTATTGGGGTTCTTGACTAAGCCGAAACGCCAGTTGCGCCCCCCTGATGCCCGGATGTGTACAACGCGGCGAGGCTCGAGGGGCCGCGAGGCCGGGCGCGTGGGGCGGGCAAGGCGCGGATGGCTATTCTTCGACGCGCGGCCCTTAGCAGCCAGGTCGCCCGAGATACCGAACCAGCAGTGGACAGCCCAGCTTCCTTAGTCCGCCCGTTGCAGTCACAGGACGCGAGTAGCCTATCAATGGAGGAGCCTGGCAGTCCCAAGGCGCGCAGGCGGCGAGCGAAGTCGCGCGAGATGCACGAGGAGTGCACGTCGACGCGGGACGACCTGAGAGCCGACGCGCGACACGAACGGAGCAAGAGCAGCGCGACCAGTTCTGCTGGTACTCGCTTGCTGTTCCCGCCTCTCTTGCTATCCCGCGTCATTGCGGTGATGCCTCCAACTGTGCGCATATCCAATGCATTCTTCCCCCCTCTCCCCCCCAATCATTCACCCCCTCCCTTCCCTAATCCGTCGACTGCCCTTCCGCTGCTTCCCCTCGCCTCCCCGTTTCTTCGCTCTGCCGCCAGCAGGCGGAAAGGGGTACAGCGCGGATGCGCGGGGCGAGCAGGAATCCGCGACAGGGAAGCAGCGTGGCGCAGAGGGGGGCGCGCGACGGCGAGGGCGCAAGCTCAGGGCGGACGCGGCGGAGGAGAGGGGCGCGGAGGGCACTTGGGGGGCGGTAATTGTATGGGCGGGAGAGCAGGAGGAGGCGGAGGAGAGCGGGCAGGTGGAGGAAGCGATGAGGACGGAATGGCAAGGGTGGGCGGATGGGGGACGGGCGGGGATGTGGGACGAAGGGGAGGGAGGTGCGCATGCGAGGCGGCCCCTGTCGCATGCTGTGTCGCTGGGTGTCTCTCTCGCGCGCCACCTCCAGCAGCAGCCAAGGGCGGCGACGTGGGGGCAAGCGCACGGTGCAGGAGCGGAAGAGGAGGAGGAGGAGGAACATGGCACAGCAGGGCGAGGCGGAGGAGTGTTGGCGCCTGGTGCGCTGATACCTGCTGCGCCAATCCCCATCCCCACCCGCGCGCCCCTCCGCCTGTCCCGTGGCATGAGTCTGGAGGCGCACGCCTTTGGCGACCTGTACGCGTCGCCGCCCTCGCCCCCGCGCCACTCTGCGGCCCATCTCAAACCTGCCGCTGCCCCCTCGTCCCCACCAGCGCCCACAGCGCTGGCAGCGCGGGTCAGCCCGGCGCGCGGTGCACATGGGTTGGGTGCGGACGGGGGACGTGAAGTGCCGCGGGGGCACGGGCACGGGGTGAGCGAGGGCGGTGGGGGTGGCGGTGGGGGGCATGGGGGCGCGCACGCCCATGGCGGGTTGCCCAAACCGCGTGGCAAAGGGGGCAGGGCGGGCGCGGGCGAGGGCAGCAGCAGGCGCGCAGGGAGGCATGGGCGGTCGGCGTCCGTGTCGAGCATTGATGAGGGCTCCCTGGGGGGCTTCCCCAGGGGCACGTCGCCCACAGGGGGAGCGGCCAGCACAGCGGGCGCCGTGGCGGGGCGGCAGCACAACGGCGATGGGCGCGCGGAGCAGAGGCATGCGCGGTCGGGGTCAGGGGGGAGTGCACTGGGGAGGAAGGGCAGGATAGGGCAGGGCGAGGTGGAGCAGTGCGGGGAGGAGGGAGTGCAGGGCGAGTATGGGGATGTGGTGCTGTGCGGTGCGCGTGGTGCACCTGCTGCTTCCCCCGTGTGGCAATCCCCACCACCTACGCTCACTCGCCACCAAAGGCAGGGCAGCCTCCCTCCCAACCTGCACTTCCTCCCACACTCCATGTCACCTTCGCCCCCCAACTCCCGTTCCGCCTCTCCTTCCAATCTCATTCCCCCGCTGCCCCACCCGCCCTCGTCCCTCCACCCCCCTGTGCGCCGCCGCTTACTGCAGCAGCCGCAGCAGCAGGTGAGCGAGCAGGGGGGAGCGGCTGCAAGGCACAAGGCAGTGATGGTGGAAAATGGCATGGAGACACGGCTGTTGGCGGCGAGGGAGGGGGAGGGGAGCGGGGAGGAGGGCGAGGGTGCATGGTTCAAGGGCGGCGCTGCTGCAGTGCCAGGTCTCGGGCTGGATCGGGCAGTGGCAGCAGTGGCAGGAGGAGCAGCGAGTGAGGCAGTAGGGGGCAGTGGGGGGCGAGGCAAGTCAGGGCTGGGACCATCGCGCCGCACCAAGAGCATGGCCTTCCCCTCCTCCCTTCCCTTCACCCCTCCCCATCCCGCTGCCACCACGGAACGAAGCCCTGCATGCGAGCAGCAGGGCGACAGCCACAGCCTCACGGACTCTGCTGGGGAGGCACGCAGCAAGACTAGTCCCCTCAGGCCACCAGCCGTGCCCACACGCGCTGTCAGCCCCACCCTCACGGACAGTGCTGCCAGTGTGAGGAGCAGCCGCCTGGGCCGCGCGGGCAGGAGCCTGGGCGCTGGAGAGCTCGCTCGCCTCGTGGCCGCCGCCTCCTCGCCGCCCTTCCTGCCGCCCGGTGCATGGACGGCGGGCGGCGCAGGCGGCGACGTGGAGCAGGACCTGTATGGCGATGGGGCGGCGGAGGCAGAGGGGTGTGGGGTGAGGTGGGCGGCAGGCAAAGGGGAGGCGAGAGGGGCGAATGGGAGGTGGCATGAGGCAGGCGTGGCAGGGGACATAGTGGGGGCAGGCGTACAGGGGCTTGGCATGGCGTGTGAAGGAGGTGTGGCGGGTGAGGAAGGATGGGGGCATGCGGGGGCGGATGAGGAGGGCGCGAGGGAGGTGGGCGGGGGAGGGCGGGATGAGAGGGTGGAGGGGAAGAAAGAGGGAAAGAAGAAGGTGCGGAGGAAGGGGAAGAGCGTGGATGGCATTGGCGCAGGGGCAGGGGCAGGGGCAGGGGCAGGGGCAGGGGATGGTGGCGACAGTGGTGGCAGCAGTGTGCGAGGGCCAGTGGGGAAGCAGAGGAGCGAGGGCAGCAAGGGGGGAGACAACGCAGAAGACGTTGGGATCGTAAAAGGTTCCATGGAAGGCCAAGGGGAGCAGGTAGCGGGAAAGACAGCGAGGCGGGAGAGGGCGAGCAGTGCAGGCAAGGCAGCGGTGGTGCGCAAGGAGCAGCACCGGCGGCACCGCACTGAGGTGCTGGACGCCCATGGCAGCAAGGCAGGCAGGGGGAGAAGGGGCAGCGCCGGCGAGCATGGCGACTTGTTCCCCGCGCCCCCCAGCCCCGTGTCCCCCCCTGCCCCTGCTGCTGCTGCCCCGTGGCAAGCAGGCACAGGCGTGTTGGGGCCAGGGGGAGCAGGCGCAGGCGCAGGCGGCAAGGCGGGCAGGCTGAGGCGGGGGTTGAGTGAGGCGGTGAGCATGGGCGCGCACATGCGTGCGGGGGACACGGACCTGGCGCACTGGGTGCACACGGGCCAGCGCGGGGGGGGGAAATGGCCCCACACGGAGGAGAGCGCGGGGGTGTGGGGTGGCGGCACGGGCGTGGGGGGGGAATTCTCAGGAGAGGAAGTGATGAAGGGGATGTGGGGCGCGAGCAAGGCGAGTGGCACGCGTGGTGGTGGCAAGGGGGCGCGTGGGTGGGCACACGGAGGGGCGGACGAGCGCAGCGACCTGGAGAGCGAGTGGGAGCGCGAGAGGGGCAGGCAGGCGCACCAGCATGGCCGCACCAGGAGCTGGGTGGGGGGGGCGACCGGGCAGCGGGAAAAGGGGAGGGTGGGCGGGGAGGCAGAGGAGGATGGGTTGAGGGAGGAGAGTGAAGACGAGGGGGCGAAGGAGAGGGCGTGGGCGTTGGAAACGCAGCGACAGATGCAGCGAGGGGGGCAGCAGCAGCAGGTGGCGGGGCAGGGGCTGGCGAGGTGGACGTCTCTGGCACCGGGGCTGGCAGCCGCACACGCTGCTAATGCAGCACAGGCAGCGCTGGGTGCACAGGCCGTGAACACACAGCGCACAGCAGAGGCACGCGAGGCAGGAGCAGCGAGTGCGGGCACGGCAGGGGGCACGGGCGCGGGCACGCGGGGTCATGGCGCCCCTGGTTCTCCTGTGCCCTTCTCCCTGTCGGCTGGAGCAGCACCAGCGGCAGCAGGGCAGGCAGGGGCGGTGGGGCGAGTGAGGCTGGTGCGCGCAGTGGGGGGCAGCATGAGTGTGGGCATGCATAAGCTGAGCGAGGTGCTCTGGGACGTTGATGATGCTGCTCCTGCTGCCACTGCTCCCACAGCTCACGAGAGCGCCCCTGCGTGTACTGACAGCAGTATTGAAGGCAGCGCTGAAGCCTCTCCCCTGGATGCGCTCACCCCGCATGCACAGCAGCAGGGTGGAGGAGCGTCGCCCCACAGTGTGCCCACCAATCTCCTTACCTCTCTTCCAAGGCTCGCTCCCCTCACTTCCCCCGCCTCCTCCTTCTCCTCCCCCTCGCCTGCCTCCTCTGCTTCCTCTTCCTCCCTTGCCTCCAGCTCGCTCTCTCACTCGCGCACGCTGGGAGAGGGCAGGGCACAGGGCGCGTTGGCACATGTGAGGGAGGAGGAGGAGGAGAGAGGCGGCAGGAAGAGGCAGTCGGGTGTGGAGGCGACCCAGAGTGGCAAGGCAGGGAAGTCAGGAGGAGAGCGGCGTGGGGTGCAGCAGGGGGGCCGTGCAACAGGCAGTGGTGTCCCCGCAGTGGAGCACAACGGCCCTGCTGTGTCGCCCCTCGCCGTCCCTGCACATGCCCCAGCGCACGTGCACCCCAGCTCGGCAGCAGGGGCGGGTAGGAGCAGCAAGGGCGTGGGCAGGGTGGTGCGGTCCACCAGCAGCATGGCCGCCATCACTGCCTCCTCCTCCCTGCTCGCCCACCTCCTTGCTGCTGCCGCCTCCGCCTCCCCCTCCGCCGCCGCTGCTGGTGGTGGTGGTGGTGCTGCTGCTGCTGGTGGTGTCAGCCCTGCCATGGCGCATGTGGAAGGAGGGCCGGCTGGAGCGCTGTGGGAGGAGGGCGAGCGGGCAGCGGGCATGGCAGGGAGCGGCGCGGGGCATGCGGCATGGCAGCATGGGGAGGGAGTGAGCGCGTTGTCGCTGTTTGCTGGTGTGCTGGGAGCAGTGCCAGGGGTTGAGAATGGCGGGGCAGGTGCAGAGCAGCGAGGGGAAGGCGGGGAGGGCGGGCAGGGAGGGATGGGCAGTGGCAGGGAGCGGTGGCTGGAGAAGATGCCGAGTGACGGCTTCCAGACCGCCATGCGCTCCGAGCGAGCCTCTGCACGCAAGGGCAGCAGGAGGAAGAGCCGCAAGCACAGCGGCAGCAGTGACGCTGCTGCTGATGCTGCAGACGCTGGTGGCGCTGCGGCACATGGCAGTGGCGGGGGCGATGCGGACTTAGAGGAGGTGCAGGGCGGCCATGGGGATGGAGGGGCGTGGGTGCAGGGCAGCACGCACGAGGCCGCAGAGGTGAGTGTGGAGGACCATGGCATAGTGGCCGGGACAGGCGGCGCAGTGGGGGGCGAGGAGCAGCCACTCGGTGCGTCAGCCCCAGGCAGCGGCGGCAGCGCAAGCGCAGAAGCACAGCCAGGGAAAGTCGAAGGCGAGGCAGGCAGCAAGGCAGATGGCAAGGGTGGTGGGAAGGCGAATGGGAAGGTGCCCCGGGCGAAGCAGAAGCTGGGGCGGGGCAGCAAGGAGGTGCTGCGGCGGGGGCTGTCGAGCGTGCATGAGGTGTACGAGGTGCACATGGACATGCAGCTGGGCAGTGGGCAGTTCGGAGTCATCCGCATGGCACAGCACAGGCAGAGCGGGGACAAGTTCGCCTGCAAGAGCATCAGCAAGAGCTGCCTCAAGGTGCACCCGCCCGCACTCCCCAATCCCGCCCCCTCGCCGGTCCATTAGTCCTTTCGCTAGCCGTTGCCGACTCTCTCTCGTGCACTGCTCTCATACAACCACTTTCAACCACACCTTGTCTCTCTCTCACACCCTCTCCCACTCCTCTCTCGCACCACCCCTTCCCCCTTCCCCCCTTGGTGCGCGGCATCAGAGCAAGGCGGACGCGGATGACATAAGGCGCGAGGTGGCCATTCTGGAGCTGCTGGCGGACCACCCTCACGTCGCCCGCCTGCACGCCGCCTTCGAGGACCACCAGGTGCCCGCCCACCCTGCTCGCCTGCTCGCCTGCTGGGGTGCTGGGGCGTGCACGGCATGGCACCATCACCTTACTGTTCGGCATGAGAGCCTATGCCCCACCCGCCTGCCTTTCACACTCACGCCTGCCTCCATGCTCCCGTCTCCGCCCTTCTCCCCCTCCTGACTTGTTCTCCGCGCCGTCCCTCCTTGCCTGCCTGCCCGGTGGTCCCCCTGGCAGGAGGTGCATCTGATAATGGAGCTGTGTCGGGGGGGCGAGTTGTTTGACCGCCTCAAGCTCGTGGGCACGTACAGCGAGCGCGAGGCGGCGGTGCTGCTGCGCACGCTGGTGGGCGTGCTGCAGCGCTGCCACGCCATGGGCGTGGTGCACCGCGACGTCAAGCCCGAGAACATCCTGCTCGTGTCCAAGCGATCGCACACGGACATCAAGCTCATTGACTTTGGCGTCGCCGCCTTCCTCAAGCCAGGTCCGCCTCCCGCCCACCGCTCCCCCTTGCCATCATCGCCTTGCTCACGGGTTGTGTCTGCGCTGACATGCCACTGTGCCCTTCCCTCCCCTGCCATGCCCACCTGGTTCCACCACGCCAGCACCCACTCACCCCCTCCTTCCACGCCCCGACTCCCATCCCATCCTCCGTGTCGTTCCCCACCCCCGTTCCACTGGCCCCCTCCCGTAGGCGTGGAGCTAACGGAGTTTGTGGGGTCGCACTACTACATGGCGCCCGAGGTGATCGAGGGGCAGTACGGCGCCGAGGCGGACATCTGGAGCGCGGGCGTGGTGCTGTACGTGCTGCTGTCCGGCGTGCCGCCCTTCTGGGCCAAGAGCGAGGAGGGCATTCTGCACGCCATCCTCGACTGCCACCTGCGCTTCAAGGCCGATGCGTGGCGCACGCGCAGCGACGCTGTGAAGCACCTGCTGCGCTGCATGCTCACCCGCAGGCGCACCGCTCGCATCACCGCAGAAGGCATTCTGGGTGAGGCGCTGAGGCGGGTGGCTGTGGAGAGGGGAGAAGGGGGGAAGGTGAAAGGGGTGAATGATATGGTATGAGGGCGCTGGTGGAGAGGAGAGCATGTGGTTGCAGGGACGAGAACATGCTGCCCTGTGCTGTGCGTGCTGCTTGGTGTGTGTACAGTGTGTGTCACTCAAGCCTCGTGCATGTCACCATGGACCCCCTCCCTTCCCTCCCATCGCCTAATCCTCCCCTCCCTTCCCTCCCATTCCTCTCCTCCACCCTTGCCTTCCTTTCAGCCCACCCGTGGATGCAGGCGTTCTCCCAGGCACTGCCAGCGCTACACTCCCCCACATGATGGGATTCCCTCCCCACCCGCGCACTCCCCCACATGATGGGATTCCCTCCCCACCCGCGCACTCCCCCACATGATGGGATTCCCTCCCCACCCGCGCACTCCCCCACATGATGGGATTCCCTCCCCACCCGCGCACTCCCCCACAACACCGCCTGCAGCACCACGTGCACCATGCTGTGCACCGTCATGTGTGGCATGAGAATAGAGGGCAGGGCAGGCTCAACTGCACGGCCCTCACGACCCCTGCCATGCTGCACCTGGAATGGCCGTCCTTCTTGTGCGTACCCTGCTGCCTGTCCTCCCATATCCTCCACAGGTCACATAGCCACCTGACCCAACTCCCACCGCTCCACCATCAACCACCGCCTAGCATGATCACGCAGAAAAAAAATCAGGGGTAGAAAATCAGTCGCAGAATTTATTTAATTATGTTAACCTTGAGGTAATCATAGCAGCATGTATCTTGAGTGAGAGTAGGCAGGTACGGCACCACCAGTAGTTATGGCATGATTTTCTAATGTAATTATTTCTTCCTTATTCTCCTTTCCGGATGCCCCTTCCTCTCGTGGAGTACACCAGTCGTCGCAATAACGAGTCAATCAGCCGGCGCGAACATTCACTTCACACATCCCTCCCAACCTCGGGAGTACTAATCCGACGCGCCCTGCGCAACGGGAATCACTTCGCTGCGCACATACCCCCTTTCCGCAGCCCCGCCAGCGCGCCGTCGCACTCACCCACACTCTCCCGTCGTGACTCCCCTTCACTCCCCCCCCTGCCGCTCTGCTCACTCGCCCTCACCCCTTCCCTCCTCCCTCCTCTCCCCCTCGCCATGCGTCGAGCTGCCTGGTCCGTCGTCGCGTCGTTGCGCCGATCGGCCGCCGCCATCAGCAGGGACGCCCCCCGCCGCACCGCCACCACCAGCACTGCCAGCGCGGCGGCGCACACCCCGCGCGATCCCCCCGCCCACTGTAGCGCGGACCACTGGTGGCGGAATTTCACGCATTCCTGCAGCCGCCAGCCCGCCGCGGGCGGCAGAGGCAACGCGAGCAGCGTGTACGGCCCCGCTATACCCCGCGGCACCCGCCAATTCTCCGCCTCCGGCACTGGCGGAAGCGGCAGCGGAGGCGGAGGGAGGGCGGTGGGGAGGCAGGCGGAATGCTACGTGGACCGGCACGGCGTGCGGCACTTCCAGCGGCGGGGGGCGCTGGCGTGGCTGGCGCAGGCGACCTCCAGGCAGTCCGCGCATGGGGGCCAGGGGGGGGGATGGCGCGTGTCCCCCGAGGTGGTGTTGGTGGCGGTGGGGGTGGCGGGCGGCACGGCGGTGTGGGTGTACGTGAGTCACGTGCAGGAGGTGCCGTACACGCAGCGCCGGCACTGGGTGCTGCTGTCCGTGGCACAGGAGAAACGCATCGGTGAAGAGGCGTTCCAAGAGGTGCGCTGGAGACGAGGGGGCCACGACGCAAGCACACAGCAGGGGGCACCTTTTGCGGGGTTCAAAAGAGGGGGAGAGGACAGGGCAGCGTGGGTATGGGTGGGGCATGCGGCTGTGTCCAGAAGCTCGTGCACAGCACCACTCGCCCTTCCCTCCTGCCCCCTCCGTAGTATCCGCACACCCCTCATCCCCGCTTTGCTCCCCTCCTCCTCCTGTTCCCCCCATCCCCACACCCCCTGTGGCTTGCGCTGCCGCAGGTGAGGGAGCAGCATCGCGACCGCCTGCTGCCGTCCACGTCAGCAGAGGCGCTGAGAGTGCGCCACGTGGCGACCAAGATCATCCAGGCCACCACGGAGCACGTTGACCCGGTACAGTGGCATGCTGCCTGCGCCCGTGTGTGTGTGACGCACGATGTATTATCATAGGGCCTACTCAACACACGGACATGTGGATGGGTAGCCTGGATGCAACTCCATAGCCCCTCTCCCCTCTCCTTGCCCAACCTTCTCTCTCTTCTCTGGCCTCCCTTCTCCCCCTCGTCCTCCCCCTCTTTCCCCCCAGGGCAAGCCCCCCCAGGTGGAGTACTGCCCGCTCTCCCCCTCCTCCACCGCCCCCGCACACCGCCCCATCTCCACCCCCTCGCCCTCCGCCTCTGATGCTGTGGCCGGGGGAAAGCAGGGCGGGGGAGGGGAGGGAATGGGGGGCGCAGCAGGGGATGGGGATGCGGGAGGAGGGCAAGGGGATGCGCTGCTGGAGGACAGCGAGTGGCTGGACAGGCAGCAGCGGTGAGACGCATGCACACTGCACTGCACACCTGCCACTATGCATGCATGCACATCACCTTCCATACACCTCTCTCGCCCTCTCTCTCCACATGCTCATGTGCCTCCCAAAGCATGTCGCTCTACGGCTCTCTGCTCTTGCTCGTGCCACTGCCGCTGCATGTGGCCGTGGCAATGCGTGCAGGCAAGCACAGGCAGTATGGGGCGAGGGGCGGCCGTTTGAGGAGCACTTGAAGGGGCTCACATGGCAGGTGGGGTGACAGGCAGGTCATGACAGGCTCATGGGCGCATGTCAATCGTTTCAATCATTCTTCCTGCCATCACATCATGTTTGCTGCTGCCTTCTCTCACCACAGACCCGCCCATCTGCACCGCATGGAACACGCCCTTTTTTCCACTCCCTGCTCCTCTCCACTTCTCCCTCCTGCCCCTTGGGGCCGTTGCTCCTTGCGCTGACCGTCCCGTGCCATATTCTCCCCCCCCAGGTGGCGGTGGTGGATGCGCCGGTGCTGAACGCCTTCTGCCTGCCCAGCGGCAAGGTGGTGGTGTTCTCGGGGCTGCTCAAGCGCTGCCCCGATGACAGCCAGCTCGCCACCGTCATTGGCCATGAGGTCCGAGCATGGCGCATGCAATGGGCGTGCAAGTGGGGTGTGGGGTCATGGGCATGCATGGGGGTTTGAGTGCGTGTTCACGTTCTAAATGAGCTCCTCCTCCCTTCCCCGTCGCCTTCTCCTCTCATTTCCCTCACCTGTTACCCCTCTTCCCTATCCCACTCCCCACCCCCCCGTCGTCCTTTCTCCGCTGCGAGCAGGTGGCGCACATAGTGGCGCGGCACGGGGCGGAGCGCATGAGCAGTGCGATGCTGGTGGCGGTGGTGCAGATGATCATCGTCAACTTCCTGCTCAGCTGGCCGGCCTTCATCCGCACCGCATCCGACCTCCTCATCTCCCTGCCCTTCTCCCGCATGTACGCCCTCCTCCTCTCCAATACCCTCCTGCCCCCTCTTTCGCCTCACATATGTGGCACCCCTCAGCCTAAGACATGCCTATGCCCCCACCCTTGCTCCACCTTTTGCTGTCGTCCGTCGTCTGCCCACTTTGAGTGTGACATGTCTCTCCGTATCGCTCCTCCTGGACCTCATCCTGTGTGGTGCATGGGGCGGGCAGGCACGAGTTGGAGGCGGACCGCATAGGGCTCATGCTCATGGCCAAGGCCGGATACAACCCCGATGCTGCTCCGGGTAGGTCCCATGCCATGCACACACCACACTGCTGCCATGCCATGCCCATGTGCTGCTGTCGCACGCGCCACAACTGCTGCTCATGCCATGCTGTCATGCGCATGTCCCACCTTGGTACTGTATTGCCCATTCAGGCTTGGGGCCTGTCTCGTACATCCCTTCCCCTCCCCCTCCCCGCTGCAACCACCATGCACCGCCCCCAACCCCACCCCAGGTGTGTATGAGATGCTGGACCATGCGAGCAGTGGTGGCAAGGCGCAGCGACCAGCACCCGCACCAGAGGGGGCGGACAAGGCAGGGTGGGGCGACTTCATGTCCACGCACCCTGCAGGCACGCGCAGAGCAGCGCTGCTACGCAGCAGTGCGAGCGTGCAGGAGGCGAGACGAGTGTACCGAGAGACAGTCGAGAGGGAGGCGGGGGGGCGAGGTAGGATGTGGGGTGGGGGGGACTCATGGTTTGGCTTCTGATTCACCTCTAAGCGACATGTCATGGCATGAAAGGTGGATGTCGTTAGATACCGTAATTCATGCTGCTTGTTCCATGTTTATTGAGGTGGTGATAGTGTCCATTGCTGTAAATGCAAAGCTATGCTTCATTGAGTGAAGCAGGGCCGTCTGTGCCCACAAAGCACCTACGGTACTAAGATTCAATTAGCCAAATCAGCAGGGAGCATAACTACAGCTATTCCCACAAGCCCTACTGGTGGCACCTGGTGGCACCCAGGCACGTGGGTGATTACCCCTACTCTCAGCAACTCGAGTTGCCACACTAGTGCTCCCCCATGCTAATGGCACACATGCCCTAGCCAGCTGCACTCTATCTTGACGTACAACTGGTTGCTCCCCCGCTCCAAGCAGCGGTCAAGGGACCCAGAGCTGGCAGCACTGGCCTCAGCACCACCCCGGTTTCCCACGAGGTAGCAGCCCATTACCCACGCCGGGCACCCCGGGCGGCATGCGCGTGCGAATGGGCTTGAGTTTGCAGGCGATTGCTTCCAGGGAGAGATCCTCCGCGCGGAAGGAGGGCTGAGGCGAGTGGCACACAGAGGACGAGGACGAGGGGGGGGACAGGCAGAGACAGGAGTGGGAGATGGAGGAGGAGGTGATGGATGAGGCATGAGGAGAGTCATCGGAGGAGGGCGAGGAGGAGGAAGATGAGGAGAGGGAGAGGCCGTAGACGGTTGAAGGGTCATAGTGGTGTGAGAGAGGCATGCACGAGTGCGGGCGGTACTGAGTGGTGGAGCGAGGGGGCAGGGAGGACGCCCAGGGAAGGGGGAGGGGGGACGCGTGCAGGAAGGGAGGCGGGCAGGAGTGGGGGACGGCAGAAGGGGGGTGTGGGGGCGAGCAGGTGGGGCGGGGGAAGCTTGTGGTGCGAAGGAACTTGTCAAGGGGGGAGTAGAGGCGGTGGGGGCACTCCACTGTCACCAGTGACCCACTGGATGGCACCTGCCGCACCGTAAGCAGGGCAGGGGAGAAGGAGGGGAGGGGAGGGGAGAGAGGGTAAGGCATGCATGGGTGGTGCGTGCTGCAGCACGCAGAGGTGCGGGCGGGCGGCTACTCTGTTACTGCACACCGCTTATACACAGACCTTCCAGCCTTGGTTCAAGGCGTAAGCACTGTGTGGCAATGCACGAGGTGACGGGCGGCGGCGGGAGCGAGTTAAGGTGAGAAGACAACAAGCGCTGATGTGAGGGCAGTGGGGTTACCTGGAACCAGGCGGCGAGGTCTGGCGGTAGGTGCTTGTGCAGGTGCAGGGCATCGTCTCGGAAGGCGGAGTGCTCGCCCACGAGCACGAGGCATGGACATGTGATCCGCCGCACCTGCTCCGTTATGTCCTGCCGACTGCACTCACCATGGCGTGGCATGAGGGGGAGTGCAGGAAGGGGGTGGAGGATGAGCGGGTGTGGGGGAGGATTGCAGCAACATAGAGAGAGGTGGTGGGATGGGAGAGTGTGAGCAGGTGGAGGGTGGTGAGTGGCGCAATGGCAAGAGGAGGCGAGGCGTCTCACTTGTTGAATGCGTCAGCATACTGTGCCACGGCACGCGGATCCCTCTCCTCGCCCTCCCCTGCTATCTGCACACACCATAGACAAGGACAGGGAGGACGGGGAACACATGGGCACACACACACACGAGTGTGTCAGATCAGCCAGGCGAGCAGGGTGATATGAAGCAGAGCAGCAGCGGAGAGCAGGTAAAGCGAGGATGAGAAGCGGGGGAGGGCCATGGTGAGTGCGGGCACACACCGGGTGCGAGGGCTGCGTCCGTGGTGAAAGCGGCTGAGCCGCGAGCGACTGACATGTGAGGTGTGTGGCGGCAGTGGTGCCGCCCTGCAGGGACGCACCAACACAGGCAACACATGGCAACCAGCAGCCCGTCAGCACTCACAACGTGCATGGAACGAGAGAGGGCTACTAGAAACCAGTGGGACACAATGTAGAGTGCGAGTGGCGCGTGCATGATGCCCGCCACAGGCGTGGCATATGAATGGTGCTCGCAGCAGCAGCAGTAGCAGCAGCAGCAGTAGCAGCAGCAGTAGCAGCAGCAGTAGCAGCAGCAGGAGTAGCAGCAGCAGTAGCAGCTGACCTTGGTGTGCGAGGCTGGACTGACGTATCGGCCAGAGAAGGCGCCCGACACAAGGGCGGGCAGCCCCGATAGAGACAGCACCGACAGCAGCAACTGCACGCCGCAGGACGGTCGCACACACGGGTGGAGTTGGGGGTATGAGTAAACATTGGAACAGAGACAAACGATACAATGTGTGGGGTGGGATTGGCACAATGCTTGAGCGGGGTTAGTGGAGGGATGTGCAAGAGGCGGAAGCAGGTGGGCATGAGAGGGCGGCGGGAGGAGCGCACCTTGTTGAAGGCCCACTCGCTCCACGTGGGCGTGCGGCACACCGGCGACACCAGGATGAGCGCCCGCACCAGCTCTGGCCGCTTGATCTGATGCGCCTCGTGGCACGGCATGGCACACACGTCAGTGCGGGGCGATGAGCAAGGGGGCACGGAACAAGGAGGATCAGTAGTGGAAGAGTAACAGTCAGAGTCAAGGAGATGTGCAGAGACAAGGTACGACAAGCGCATTCAACTCAGCGGCAGTGTGGCTGCCTCCTGTGCCATGCAGTGCAGCAGTGCCATGAAGAGGTGTGAGGCGTACCGCGAGCAGCGTGAGGACGTACGCGCCTGCCGTGACGCCAAGGCCCGTCACCGCGGGGAGGCTGCACAATCACACCAAGGGAGCGCGCGCAAGGAGAAAGGAACCACGGGCATGTCAGCAAGGGCGGGGCCCGTGACTGGAGGGTGGCCGGCATAACCAACCAATGAGAGTGGCGTCGCGAATGCAAGACGCAGGGCGGCGCAAATGACGTCGCAAGGCGCGGCATAAGTCGCGAAATGGTACTGGCACGGGCGCACGAAAGGACCCCGGGCTCACCCCAAGTGCGCGATGGCGTCCGCGACCTGGTCCGCCAAGTCGTCCGCCGATAGCCTTCTCCGCTGCTGCCGCCCTGATGCCGCTCCCACCTGCCGCGCGCGCAGAGGCAATGAGCCGGGACGACAAGGGGAAGCGGAGTTGGAGGGGAGTGCGGGTGGGAAACGGGGGGGAGAGCGAAACTGGCCAGACAAGCGGGGAGTCGGCTATGGTCAGGCGGGCGGGGGGAGCAACGGGGAAAGACATTCCTTGCAACCAGCGCAACATCTCCGCCAGTGAATCTACCGCGAGTCCGCCCCGCGCAACGAGCGCTCACCTCATGGTCGGGCGCGTCGACGTGGAAGACGCAGAAGTGCTGCCGCAACAGCGGCGCGGTGTCGGGGCACCTAAAGAGCGCTCCGAAGCACGACGCGTCTGCACGCACGGGGATCGGGTGCACGCACATGCAGGCGCGGGACGAGTAGGCAGGGAAGTAGGGAGAGGGGGGAAGAAAGGAGGAATCTCGAGGAATGGTAGTGCGGAAGCGGAACGGGTTAGCAGGGTGACGTCGAAAGCAAGTTGACGGCTTGTGGCGAGGTATGCGGCAGGGAGGGGAACCCGAGAGGCGAAACAAAACCACGAAGCGAAAGAATTGAGGAGAGCAGCGCGGCTTGGATCTTATGCGACAGCAGGAATGAAAGCAGCCGAAACGCGCTTACGATCGAGAGCGATGTCGTGATACGTGAAGAGTGGGTGATTCCGGCGGTCGCCAGATATAGTCACGCGCAGGGGTCCAAATCGAGTGGGCACGAGTTCCACCTGGTGCCGCATTGGTGCAATTGACGGGGAAGAAGGGGCGACGGTGGGAGGAAGAAGGTGAGGGAGGTGAAAGGTGGAATAGCGCAGTGAATACTACCGCACACTAAGAACACGCGACATACGGAATCGTCAATTGTTCTTGAAGATTGGGCATGGGCATGACGGGTACCAGTAAGAACGCTACCAAGGGCACACTTTACATCCCAATACCTGTTCCGGCCACGTGTCATCGAACGACGGCGCGCCTGTGAGCCATTCGCCGTCGCTAGAGCCGCTGCTGCTGTGGCCGCAGCAGCTGCACGCACCGCTGCTGTTCCAGCTGCCGCAATCCGCTTCCGCTTGCGGCTGCTGCCGCTGCTGCCACGACTCCAGATGCGCCCACGACGGCTGTAGCCACGCCCAGTCGCCTTCCATCCCCTCTGCGTGCCTCGACAGCGTTAATCACTTCTCTAGCCCAAGCGCTTACCCTTCAACAATCAAAACGTCGTCGCAGGTACGACAAGCTTCTTCAAGATTGTGAGATTTTCACCTCCCGACTGCTGTGGACGTAGAGAGGGAGAGAGAGAGAGGCCCCTATTATTAGTCTACCTGTTTCACGTGTGTGCTTCGTTACCAAGCTTAGCAGGTGCAGGGAAACTGACTCGACATTATTGGAGGCTCGTGAGAAATAATTGTAAAAAGATCGAACTGCGATAATTTCACCTGGATGTGGTTGCTGATGATGGATGCTGCTTCGTTTCTCCTTCGCCGTCGCCACTTTGACTTGGGTTGCCGCACCGCGCTCTGTCTAGCTGGCGACAAACCAAATGTGAACCTAATTTGCAGCAGCTCCATCGTTGGTCGAGCTGAGTGTGTGCCGCAATAGCGCGCTGGTCAAACTCTCGCGCACCACCCTTGGCTGGTCCGGCAAAATCAGCTTCGTGTCGCTCAACCAATCCGTGGTGGGGGGAACGAAGTTCCCGACCGTGCGACGTGTGATACTGCGATACCAAACCACCAAGTGCAAGGCAAGGCACACCCTGGGCGACGACAGCTCAGCAGTGCGCCACGAGAACAGCATGCAATGGCCCAAGCTGTAAATTTCGCTGTTTTCCCCATCGGTTGCCTGTTCCCAAGCACTTCGCACTCCTCCCACAGCAACCTACCTGTACTGTAAATGGTTCGTTCGCCCAGGCCCAATTGGGATGAGGTGGGTACGGTCAATCCCGACCGTCCATCGAAGTCAAAGGCAGATTGACGCTGCACGGATTGGTCCCTCCTTGCCATAGCTGGTGGTCAGGCGACAGCAGGCTATAGGTTTTCCCAAAGCACACGCCAGGGCAGAAAGACTTCCCAGGTGTCAAAATGCCTCAGTAGGGAGGCTTCACGCAACGACTGAATTCGCCATTTTTTTTTTCTACACGATTGTGGAAATCTCGTATATTTTGTTACAATTTGAACAAACAGGTTACCGGTAATAGGATTGGCTCAGGTTGGTCGCACTACGTGTAGCAGCAAAAGTTTGCTAGTGGTTGGGAACGGACTCTGTCAGTAGAAGGAGCATTAGATCTCGGCCAAAGTTATTATAGCAGTGCAATACAACAGCTGATATAGGGATACAAGGAAATGCGAAGGGTCATATCTAGCCATGTATTCTGAGTGGGTACAATCCCCTTGGGGCTAATCTAGATCGGGAAAGTTGCCCAGTTCGGTAAACTAAACGCGGCATATAGCTGTTTAAATGCCTTTCCCACGCTGGCACTTCCAAATCTTCCTGATTTCAACCGTCTTCGATAACTGTTTATGACGCCCGGTCATCGTCCTTATTGTAATCATCTTCGCGTTGAAACGTTGTAACAAGCGACAAGTGAGAGAAAGACGGCGAGATCTGTTGACAGGAAAAGGCCCCGCCCTCGCTTGGGCGAAGCAGACTATGCAGTCGGATGCGCGAGAGGCAAGGCTCTTGTTATGAACTAAGGACGTCTCATTCATCAAACAGGTCCCGAAACATCAAACATGGTTTTGTCTGATTCTGATGAGAAAGTCAGATGACGCGAAAAAAGTAAGTTCGAAAATTTGACCATTACACCAAAATGGTCTAATAATAAGAGCCCTAGTAGGAGGTTTCAGCCGGCTGCACGCAGATGTCGATGTAGAATGCTGCAGAAGTCGACGCCGAGTTAGGCAAGCAGGTCGGCGAGTTGTACGGTCGACGAGGTTATGGGTGTTGGTCGACCAGACTTTGCCCGACGGGATGTGGTCGACATCGCCGACATTCAGTGCTGCTTAACGGGTTCTTCTCAACGCGTCTCGGCGAAAGATCTTTGACGTAGCATCGTCGACCTGGTCGACGCAAGTCGCTCGACTGCGAAATCTGATGCGTGGTCGAATGTCGCTTTGCAAAGTCGACCGGCGGAACGTCAACACGTACTCTACGGTGCACGACTCGGGAAACTGTCGACACGTGTTCAAGCTGGCGCCTTCTGTCAGAACTTATATTTGTAACTGCCTGTAGCTGTAGTTAGTGTAGTTATTATAAACTTTGTTTGGTGGTGCACCTTATTTGTTTCCTTTGCTATATGTTCTTCGAAACCTATAGTGAAACCATCCTTTCCAACTTTCTCGACTCTCACCCTAGGCACAAACTACTCGACATCCTAGTTGGGCCTAGACTCCTAAGCCTAGGCCCTAGTTAAACTTGATCATTCCACGTTTCAGTTTTTATCACCTTCGCAATGTGCCTGGCGGCGCAATCGTCTACGTGCACACATCTGCACAAGTTCAAAAGTGTCTGCAGTGCTAGCAGACAGATTTGTGCAACGTTGGCTGGCAGCCCTGCTGCAACGTTGGCAAGCCACTATTATGCTTCTACCCCCAAAACGCGGAAGGATCCGCACATGTGCAGGAAGTGCGACGGGCGCTCTTCATTCGCGAGCGCCGATGACCGTTGATGCTCGCAACCCTACCACGCCCTTGCTGGCTTGGTAATATGCCCAGACAAGCGCAGCCACGTGATCTGGCGGAAAAATAACACTCGAACGAGCGCTTCTAGCCCCAAAACGCGGAAGGATCCACACATGTGCAGGAAGTGCAGCGGACGCTCTGCATTCGCGAGTGCTCATGACCGATGATGCTCCAAACCCTCCCACGCCATTGCTGGCTTGGAAATAGGACCAGACAAGCGCAACCACGTGACCCGGCGGAAGAAAAACGTCGGAACAAGCGTTTTTTCCCCCAAAACACGGAAGGATCCGCACATGTAGAGAAAGTGCAGCGGGCGCTCTTCATTCCCGAGCGCTGATGACTGATGATGCTCGCAACCCTCCCACGCCCTTGTTGGTTTGGTAATAGGCCCAGACAAGCGCAGCAACGTGACCCGGCGGAAGAAAGACGCTCGGAACGAGCGCTTTTACACCCAAAACGCGGAAGAATCCGCACACGCGCACGAAGTGCAGCGAGCACTTTTCATTCGCGAGCGCAGATGACCGATGATGCTTGCAACCCTCCCACACCCTTACTGGCTTGGTAATATGACCAGACAAGCGCAGCCACATGACCCGGCGGAAAAAAAAACGCTCAGAACGAGAGCTTCCAGCCCCAAAACGCGAAAGGATCCGCACATGTGCAGGAAGTGCAGCGGGCGCGCTTCATTCACGAGCGCCGATGACCGATGATGCTCGCAACCCTCTCACGCCCTTGCTAGCTTTGTAATATGCTCAGACAGGGGCAGCCACATGACCCGGCGGAAAAACAACGCTTGGAACGAGCGCTTCCAGCCCCAAAACGTGAAAGGATCCGCACATGTGCAGGAAGTGCAGCGGGTGCTCTTCGTTCGCGGGCGCTGATGATGCTCGCAACCCTCCCACGCCCTTGCTGGTTTGGTAATAGGACCAGACAAGCGCAGCCACGTGACCCGGCAGAAAAAAAGCGCTCGGAAGGAGCGCTATTACCCCCAAAACGCGGAAGGATCCGCACATTGGAAAGAAGTGCAGCGTGCGCTCTTCATTCGCGAGTGCCAATGACCGATGATGCTCACAACCCTCCCACGCCCTTGCTAGCTTGGTAATAGCCAAACATGCACAGCCATGTTACCCGGCGGAAGAAAAACGTTTGTAATGAGCACTTCCACCCCAAAACGCAGAAGGATCCGCACACGTGTAGGAAGTGCAGCGGGCGCTCTTCATTCGCGAGCGCCGATGACCGATAATGCTCGCAACCCTCCCACGCTCCGGCTTGGGAATAGGCCTAGAAACTCAGCAACGTGACCCGGCGGAAGAAATACGCTCGGAACGAGCGCTTCCACCAACAGAACGCGGAAGGATCCGCACACGTGTGGGAAGTGAAGCGGGCGCTTTTCATCCGCGAGCGCCGATGACCGATGATGCTCGAAACCCTCCGACGCCCTTGTTGGCTTGGTAATAGGCCCAGAGAAGCGCAGACACGTGACCCGGCGAAGAAAAACGCTCGGAACGAGCGCTATTATCCCCAACGCGGAAGGATCCGCACAAGTGCAGGAAGTGCTGAGTGCGCTCTTCATACGCGAGCGCCGATGACTGATGATGCTCGCAACCCTCCCACGCCCTTGATGGCTCGGTAATAGGCCCAGACAAGCACAGCCAAGTGACCCGGCGGAAGAAAAACGCTCGGAACGAGCGATTTCCTACCCAAAACGCGGAAGGATCCACACGTGTGCAAGAAGTGCAGCGGGCGCTCTTCATTCGCGAGCACCAGTGACCGATGATGCTCGCAACCCTCCCACGCCCTTGCTAGCTTGGTAATAGGACTAGACAAGCGAAGAAAAACGCTCAGTATGAGCGCTTCCACCCCCAAAATGCGGAAGGATCCGCACATGTGCAGGAAGTGCAGCGGGCGCCCTTCATTCGCGAGCGCTGATGATCGATGATGCTCGCGACCCTCCCACGCCCTTGCTGGCTTGGTAATAGGCCCAGACAAGCGCAGCCACATGACCCGGCGGAAAAGAATCACATGACCCGACGGAAGAAAATCTTTCGGAACGAGCG